GTGCCCGCCGTCAAAGAAATTCTCTGCCTTCTCATTGGAGCGGGAACCAGTGATAGAAAGCGAGTAATACGAAGAAGTGATACATCATATCAATTGCCCACTTCAACAACTGGTGGAGAACGGGTTTGGCACCGCGCCAATACATCCCGCCTGACACGCCCAACAGTCTGCAGCGAACTACACTATATTTGGGAGTGTTCCACTGAAGTTCAAATTACAGTTGATATTTGACATGGTGGTTTATACGGTGAAGAAAGCAATCCTTTCTACGGACTGACGATCCCGGGTATGTGGCATGAGAATCGTAATTCGCCGCGCCAGTGGGCGTCGCGTGCGACGTCGCGCCATTAATGACGACGGTTTTAGGTGGTATTGGTCGAAAATGGACAATGTATGACTAAAAATAGGCATAAAAATCTACCACGTCCTTGTCTACCTGGAATCCGATGCTTTTATGCAAAAGGATAGAGCAAATCAAGGAGATGTCGCCCCCACTGCCGCTCGCGACGAGGCGGCTATTTGCGATTCTCTTGCCCGTCACCCGACGATCCCCATGTATCCGCTGGTGTTCAGAACAGAGTGTGTGATGGTCAGGGAATTTGAATGTGCTCTATAGGGAGGTCGTTCAGGACGTGGAGCGCTTTTTGAAAACGGTTTTTTGCATGATGTGGGGTACGTGCATGGAGTACCAAACTGGTGTTCATTTTTCCTGAACGCCTCTGGGAATGCCAAAAATGGAGTGAAAAAGAAGTCCATGGAAACCGACTGTTTTTGAGCCTGAATGGGCTCTAAATCACTCGCAACTTCGGCCAGTTGCTGCCTATAGGGTCCTTATAAAGGTACTGGTATCGATGAGAAAAGTAGTCGCCAATGGGGTCCTACTTGTGGCACGTAGTCCCCAATTTGGAGCCAAGTCTTTCTCCCACTGGAGTCGCTATGTACATTCGTTTGAGGGACTTGCAGGGCCATTCTGACGCCAGATTGGGTTGATGTCAAGAATAAGTGTCAGAATCGTGATCAGGACCATCGATTACCCCTATAGGCAAACTTTCAGCCAAAAAATTTTTTTTGACTTTTTTTGAGTTGTGATAGACCGACCATTTGGTCGTCGGTGATGACCGGAGACCCACAACTTTGGAGTTGCGATGACGTAGCGATGACGTGGTGGGCCGCCGGGCAGCCGCATCGCGGATTTGGTGCTCATAAGGTCCATTCATACTTGGCATGGGCATGGGTGGCCGCAGAACAAGTGAAAAACCATCCTGGACATTTGTCGACCCCCGCGACGGCTCGCTCAAAGATGTCGTCCTCCCCTACCAAGAGGAGAGACTCATCCGATTTCTTCATCAAATGCACCTGGAGGAATGATGACTATTTTGTTCTTTTTTTCGATGGCGTTTATGGTTGTTGCTAGTTTTTTGTTTCCGTACCACTGAATGAGGGTTTCGATAACCAGCAAAAGTACGACTTCAACAAAGTGACTCTTGAGCATAACCCAATGCACAGACTCAAAAAAGTCAAAAAAATTTTTGGCTGAAAGTTTGCCTATAGGGGTAATCGATGGTCCTGATCACGATTCTGACACTTATTCTTGACGTCAACCCAATCTGGCGTCAGAATGGCCTGCAAGTCCCTCAAACGAATGTACATAGCGACTCCAGTGGGAGAAAGACGTGGCTCCAAATTGGAGATAAATGGCACTAGAGCTGAAAGTAAATGCCATAGTCATGATCAGGGCATCGAATAACATAAGCTCAGCTTTCAGACAAGTTCTTGCTTAATGGTATGTGAATCGAAATTGCTGAATAGCACCGACTACGGGTATAACTATTTAGGATGTGCCTATAAATGGCAGATATCCGAGTAAAATTCATTAACAGACGTATATGGAAGCGACAACAACGGAAAATAAAAAATGCAAAAACGTGCAAGCCGAGGGGAGTCGAACCATCATCCCCATCCCCACTGTCTGCTTGAGAATCCTCCACGCTATCCACTAGGCCATCCGATCGTTGGCACAGGTACCACTTCGATTGCTTAAGAGCCCATTCGAATTGGCCGTCGACTCTTAACTACGTGCCACAAGTAAGACCCCATTGACGACCACTTTTCTCATAGATACCAGTACAACCTTTATAAGGACCCTATAGGCAGCAACTGGCCGAACTTGCGAGTGATTTAGAGCCCATTCAGGCTCAAAAACAGTCGGTTTCCATGGACTTTTTTCACTCCATTTTTGGCATTCCCAGAGGCGTTCAGGAAAAATGAACACCAGTTTGGTACTCCATGCACGTAACCCCACATCATGCAAAAAACCGTTTTCAAAAAGCGCTCCACGTCCTGAACGACCTCCCTAGTAAGAGCGAGCCGACGCATAATATATTTTAGGCTCGAGTTGCTGTCGCGGTTAAATTCGTTTTTTCAGCATTGTAACGAAAGTCCTCAGAGTGCCCTCAAAAAATCCTCCTTTTCGCTAGCTTTGAAAGACAGTCGAGGTTACGTCATTATCATGGCCTCTGGTCAAAGTAGAAACTCCCCAATAAAAGCGAATTAGTCACGTCTCAATTCAATTCGCTGAGATGAACTGTTCGCGGCAAACACTTCACCAGAGGACTTTTAGAGGGTGGTCGCATCTGTAGCGAAAGTTAGGCTGACGGCGGGCACACTCATATTGCCCACCCGTCTGCAGCGAACAAGAGTGTATTTTTCGCAGACTAGTCAAAGTGCCAGCGAAGGTTCCCAAGCGATTGTATTTCCGAACTCTTGGGCTATTACTGTCGAGAAAAGATTGTATTTCAAGAAGAGACACCTTTCTGCGGTTGGACCTGGATCGGAAATGCCGTACAGGTGCCCTCTATTTCATGTTACCACTGTATGTACCACCGATATGAATGAAGTAAAAGCTTTTTCGAATAGCTAAAGTACTACCGCTGATCTGAGCGCAGATTCCATTTCTTCTGAAAGTGATTTCTCTGGGCTGAAATAGAAGAGATGCAGTGCACCTTCAGTTTCAAAGGTAATGGATGCTCCAAACGAATGGACGGCACCTTTGCACTCCGAAGGTGATCAATATGGCTTTGAGAAGCATCCGACAACGAGCTAAACGCAGCTGCACACTCACGTCCGAGGACGCTCCTTGCCATGTGCAAGAACAACGGGCAGCTGTACAGGTGTAACACCTTTGTGATTTGAGACAGCATGGAAATCAGACTGCAGGGTAAAGTTACCTGCATGCCCGAGTGCCGTCTGGGACGTCGCCCGCGCTATCCTCAACATGCTTGCGATCAAATGTTACGGACAGTAAGTGCTCAATCATGAACCAGCAGCTCAGAGATAACCCCCAGTAGAGAAATAAGCTGAAAACAATTTTGTGAACACTCTGAACAGAGACCCTCAACAGCAGTGGGCGCATTAAACGAGTTCTTCAGACGTTGGCAAGCCCGATCAGTAGGATTCGACGTGCAACCAGTTCCGGGTAGGAGCGCAGGAAAGTCATCCTACGACGCTCCAGGCAACGCTATGTACACACGCTTCCGCTTGTAAGCCGTTGTCTTGCAGAGTGAAAGTAATCGTGGTTGCAATAATCACGCGTCTCTAGCTTCTTTATCTCGCCGTTTCAAGTGACTAAATTGATGTGTTCCCTGCGAATCAGAAAACGACATCAAATGCGCGAAAGTATTTCGCGGACCACTTGATCCGGACTGTCATCAAGTGTAAGGCTGGCACTGCAGCGCGGGCGCAGCCCCCGAACGTAATCCGGGTAGCACTACCCTCCAGCGCTGTTCCTATGTACTTTCGAGCGGAGACAGCGGCACGCAACTGCAGTGTCGAACGCATTCACCCCGCACATGACAAGGACCAGATTTCCCGAACATGAGGGTACAGTTTCTCTGTGAGGCAAGCTCATGTCTCAATCGGAGTGAATTGCCCAAATGTACGGCCCACACGTTTTATGCTATCAAAGCCTTCAAATAGCAATCGATTACCATTGCGTTTTAGCTTCTTTGCGGTATTTTCTGAAATAGAGCGATTTGAAAAAAAGCTCATACCGGCGTTCCTATTACAGGATTTCATCATAACCTCACCTCCAGCCGCCGCTCTCGTCATCACTTTTCCTTGTTTTAGGCCGCCCCACCTTTTCTTCACTCTTTTTGGTCTCTTTGCCTGGCTTTTCATCTCCAGTCTTCTTGTCTTCACTACTGCGTTTGTCAACATTTCCCTTTTCATCGACACTTCGTTTGTCCTCACTCTTTCTCTCGTCTTTGCCTTTGTTCTCTTCGTTCCCATTCCCTTTCTTAACAGCAAGCAAGGATCAAAGGAATCAAAAAGAAGTAGATATTTGACGAACTTAGTTGAAGTACAGGCACATTAAAAGGTATCCACTAAGAGGGTGCAGAAGAGCGGACTAGCGTGACTCGAAGGCACGGCCCACGTTTACCAAGTATCTAGGCTCTTTGAATGGGAATAGTGGAAACGGACAACCCTGTACAATTTTGCGTCAGCAGATTGTTAGTAGCAGCGCTAAGGCACAGGGTTGTACAAGTGACTCTGCTCACATCGTTGGATATCTTACGCTGTGTTCACACTTTGCTGTTGCGTCCACTAGCGTTTCGAGCGTCCGGTAGCGTCAGCTACCGGGAAAATATAGATATCGATCTAGCGTCGAGGGCCTGAGAAGTACAGAGATCCATCTAACGATTATCAGCGCGTGTCGACGTGCACCAGCGTCTCCCACCCGTCCGGGATAGGAGAGTATGGCGCGATAGGAGGGTAGCAGACAGATTATGCATTCCTATCGTCCTACATACTCTCTACTGGCGGTCTCCTACCCTACTATCTTTCTATATTCAACCAGTTGTCTGCTACCCTCCTTCGCGCCATACTCTCCTTTCGCGGACGCCAGGAGACGCTGGTGCACGCTGGCACACGCTGGAAGACGCTGGATCGATATCTATACTTTCGCGGCCACTGAGCTGCCGGACGCTCGAAAGGCTAGTAGAGCTGCCGCAAAGTATGAACGCAGCCTTATTGGTCGCTTTACTTGTTTGCGTGCCCTCTCGTCGCTCTTGTCTGGCTTCTGGCTCAAGAACCACATAGATTTTCTGTCTCTCGCTTAGCAGAAGAAAGCCTGGTTTCGGGCGTTTTCAACTGTTTCATTTGCTTTTTTTTTAATTCACGGCAGTTGGCACGTACACTCCTCTTTCTAACCCCGATACCGAAGAACTCGCTGGCTCATTGCCGCTTTATACCCCACTGAACGGTCTCTTATGGCACCTGTTGCACAAGCTGAAAAAACTTCCGGGCGTAAGTAGATTCCGCAAACCTCTTCTTTACTGCCTTTCTTCTTTGCATCCTCTTCTGCTCCATTCTCATTAGTCCAAACAGGATACGCCTGCGTTTTCTTGAAAAGAAAAACGTCATTGAAAGTTGTTATTCGTGACGAAAACTTGGGAATGACTAAATCTGAGCTCCATAAACTCAGCTTACAAAAGCTCTCATTACTTTCATTTTCTCAGGCGTCATAATTTTTCTGGTGTAAAACCGATTGAAAATTCCACGGGTGGGCATGATTGGAGCTCAGAAGGAAAGGAGGACCTACATCTACTTGCAAATCTTCTTTATTTTTGGAGTCATCGGCCTTTTTGTTGTCATCACCTTTACCACCCTGCTGAAAAAGTAACAGTCTCGCAAAAGGCTCTCAAAAGGGAGCAGATAAATGCTGGAATTTATTCAGCTGTAACTCGCCAGTTTGGCTGGCGCACAATATTGCGCACCTGATTTGACGAAGCAGTGCGAAGCGATTTATTCCAGTGAATCAAGATTAATGCCAATTTTTATTTATTTGAAATTGTGAAAATTCAAAGGAAAGAATAAGAGAAGGAGGGAGGAGGGGCTATCAAAAACTGCAGAACGGATGCCGGCCGGCGTTCACTGTCTCGAGCATTGCACGGGGGTTCCTACAGAGCTCACTACTGATAGCATATCCCCACATGTACCGTCGACCTCGATGACCCTAATCCTCCTGAATTTAAGGCAATCTCCTAAAATTTCGATTTTGTCCTGGGCAGCGTATTTTACTCTCATCTTTTCAAGTGGTAAGTCTGCCCATTTCCCCACCACCCTCCCTGCCGCTCGACATGCGACAACCAGTAGGATTGAGTTCACTATACATTTAGCCTGCAATACCAAATACTTAGAAGTACGGCGATAAGAAATGAATTTAGGGTGACTCCTCATCTATTCTCATCAGTTTGATGTAATCGCCTGTCACTTGCACCATATCACTGGACCTTTACCATCTGGTAGTGTGAAAGACGTACAACCTCGAAGGAGAATAACGGCAGCAGTGCTCTTTATCTGCCCTATCAGATGCATTCCTTCTCTATCACCGATCAGTAACATCCCCGTCACATCACCTATATCTCCCTGGAACCAACCCTACTGTTGCTGTGACGGGCGCTATGAATCAAGCGACGCTTGAGTTCTCATTCTCCTCAGGCTGCGTTCATACTTTGCGAAAGCGTCTATCAGCGTCCGCTAACGTTCTGAGCGTCCGCAAGCGTCAGCGACTACGAAGGTATAGATATCGATCTAGCGGCCAGCATCCTCGAGTGTCTTCCGGCGTTCACCAGCGACCGGGAGTAGAGAGTATGGGGAAGAAGGAGGGTACCAAATAGCTCGGTCAAGCGTCGTGAAAGTGCGGTAGTAGAGAGTTTGGGGATGTAGGGGGCAGCGAATAGCTTGATTAGGCGTCTGAGACAGCAGCGTGTGCAACCGCACCGCACGATTGCTAAAGCACAGAATTATGTAATTTAGTGTACGGTGTAGACCGGTTGTGCGGTGCGGTTGCACACATCGCAATTTACGACGCCTAATCCAGCTGTTTCCTACTCTCCTACTTCCTCACTCTACACTTCCGGTCGTTGGTGAGCGCTGGTGCATCGGCCTTTTTGTTGTCATCACCTTTACCACCCTGCCAGGCGCTGGCTTTCCAAGTCACTAACGCTACCGGACGCTAAGAACGCCTAGTGGACGCTGGTAGACGCTGCCGCAAACTATGAACGTAGCCTAACGCAAAAAATTCAGACTGGAGCTTCCCAATTCACACAGTGCCCTCAATTCTAATCAAACGCCGATACGTACCCCAAGGAAATACGATACACTATCCACCATTTAATTCTAATTCTTTGGTTTCCCTACTCGAAATAGTGTAGGGTAGGCGAAGCAAAGGAATCGACCTCGTCGCCGTGCGTCTACTGTTCCTTTCGTTTTTCCTTCTCCTCTCTGCACGGTCACAGAAGGCGTGTAAGGAGAGGAGCAAACCAATAACATCGCACCTGGCCCGCGCATCAGGAAATCCCGAACGTTTCTTCCAGCTGGCACAAACGCGTGGTGACTATAAAAGACAAACCTTTTGAGACCGTTTCTTGAGCTTGCAGTATGCGACAAGTGAAGCAGCGGAGAAATGTAATAAGAAACATAGTAGTGCAAAAAGCATCCAAACAGCTGCAGTCTGGCTGGGTACGTGTAGAATGAACCAGAATACAGAGAACCATTTTTTGATATCGTTTTTATCAAAGGAGGCGAATGCAGTTCTATCAGCCTATCATTTCCTGACCACTTCATTGTACCAGTTTGAGTGGTCTATGTTCTGCTTGCCCGCGAGTAGAGCCAGGTACAATACCGCTCCTAATTTGTGGTCAATCGACGGTTTGCGACAGATTTTTCCGTCGCAAACCGTCGTTTTGCCATAACTTCTGTAGAAGTGGTCCAAATGATCTGAAATTCAGACCATTCGATAGCCCTGTACAAGACGAATCCAACGATGTATGGAGCTTCCACTTTCCTTCCAATTTTTTGACGTTTTTCCAAGGAAATTGAGGTTTGAGTCTCCAGTAACCTAAGGTGTCACCTGCGGACACGGCTACGTCGTAAACCCTCCAGTCCAATTGTGAACTTCAAACCAAGTGCCACAAAGCTATAAATACCAGCATATTCAGAAAGAGCATGATTCCGTGATCATTTTGATACTTTTCATGACAGGGTTTCAGCAAGGTTCAGCTGAAAATCATGGTTCACTGACCACTCTTTCCTTGATTTCCGGTTTGAATCGTCTTGAGGATCAGTATCTGACTTATGATCCTGGAAAGCTCTTATCGGCTCCATATAATATGATGAATGGCTTGGAAGTACAATACCCGGAAGTACAATACCTGGAATTGTTCGAAAAAAAACGAAAGAACGCAGATCCGCGTTTTTTTTCCGTTTTTTTTTTGCTATAACTCTTCTCATATAGAACCCTATACTGTTAGACTCAGCTCGTCGAGTTCTATAAGCTGGCATCCTAAAAAACTAAAAAAGTCGAAAATTGAACTGTGCTTCCTATCGAAGTACCTGAGGACACTCGTTAGCGAGCGAGTCTCGCTATAATTGTAACCAGAGGGTAAACGTTGGGAATTAAATCATTGTGGAATCAAATAACGTACTGTGTCGCGTGAGAAGTGATTAAAAACTAGATAGTTGTGTTTCCCAAATGCTGCTGATCATTTTGGTGCCAATTTTCCTGAAAATTGAGGGGTTTCGCTCGATGTCACTTCCGGACGATATAGCCTTTTCAGTCCGGAAAATCTCGAGCTGTGGTTCAGTTCGGACCACACGAGCACAACGTGCCTAATGTATGGAGCCCTGTTTTCCCTAATGTTCGCGAATTCCAAGAATGAAGTCAAAAAGAAGGGTTTTTTCAACTACTTGAAATGGGCACTTCGTGCGATACTAGAACAAATGCTCGATTTTCAGCGTTTTCAAACAGGATTTCCGGCGCTCTGAGTGGCCCCAGATGTTCCATAAAAAAGCCACCCACAGAACGTTCTGTGCTTTTCAACAACTTGGTGGAAACAGTGGAATATTCTAGACTGGTTGTTGTTATCGGGTGCCAACTTCAAGACCATTTCAAAGCAAAATTTACGCTTTTTCCAAAGGAAGAAAATCCCAGTCAAAGTCACACCATTCGAATCCCCATGAAAATTCTATCTATTCATGTAAAAATCACCTCGTGCAATTTCCTACAACCTTTCGCAGTTTTCCCCGGCTATCTGCCCTGTCAGCGGTCAATCGACCTCCTAAGTAGTTATCCCACCGAAGTGTCAGGGCACTGTATTGATCAGTCTCAATAATTTCATACACCAAGTGTCTCTTCTGTTCACTATTTCGCAGGTGGTTCATGAGGACTGCCGTGCTAGAAAATGTTTCTCTTA